GAGTGTGGGTGTTTCTTAGGGACTCTCCTCAATTTTCCCAGTGGAGCTGGAGTCTTTGAGCTGGACTGAAAGTCCCCAAAAGCTGTGTGGTCACCTCGGCCACAACGGCCCATCACCACCTCTACCCTCAGCCACCATTTCCTTCCCTTTTCTGTTCCAGCCTGGCCTGGCACTCAGCTCTTGGTCAGGTGCCAACCCAGCTCACCCACTGGTAGGGCAGAGCCGGGTGGGGCGGGAGGCTTTGGGGGCAACAGGATGGGTTTCTCCTCAGATGGTCTGTCCTCTGGAGAGGAGCTGGGAATGTTGGCATCTGTCCCTGAAGTGAGGACATTCCTAGGGGAGGTGAAGGTGAGCACAACCTAACTCCGTCACCACCCACCCTCCCCACCCAAGGTCAGGCTGGCCGCCTAAGAGCCCTTAATCCTGCCCACGGAGAGACTGTGGTCAGGCAAGAGCGAGGCTCTCACAGGCCTCCACCGGCCTGGCCACTGAGCTGAGCCAGAGGGGGTCTATAAATTGCCCTAACTCCTCCCCTCCGGTTTCCCCCAGGTGCGGAGCGAGAAGTGGTGGGTTCCATCCATCCTCACAGCAGCTGCCCCTGCCCCAACACACACACCAGGGCTCCTTACAGATTGGCGAGGATGCAGTATGCCAGGGTGGGGGCTATATTTTGGCATTCTGTGCCTTCCAGGCAAGTGCGTCCCTACCACCCACTAGGGTCAACATTCTGTGCCTCCTTTGGGGCTCCCTGGGTGCTGGGCCTGAGCTGGTGAGAATGGGGGACAGTGACAAGCTAGTGTGGTCAGTGTTACATGGAGGGAAGGCTGTGTAAGCCCCGAGGAGGGACATAGGACCCCCTATAGGTCAGGGAAGACCACCTGAAAGAGGGGACACTTGAGCTAACTCTCATTTCATTTTTGGATTGTTCACTACTAGTATGTAGAAGTATGACTGGTTTTTGTCTGTTGATCTTTTATCCTGCTAGCTCGTTTATTAGTTCCAGTCACTTTTTAAGTGGGTTCCCTGGTATTTTTTGTATATGTAACCACCTAAGTTGTGAATAGTTTTACTTCTTCATTTCCAATCTGGATACCTTTTATTTTTTCTTCTTGCCTAATTGTACTGACTAGCAGGTCTGGTCAGGTTGAAGAGAAGCAGAAAGAGCAAACATCTTTCCCTTGTCCCTGCTCTTAGGGGAGAGCTTTTAGTCTTTTACCAGCGAGGGTGATGTTGGCTGTGGGTTTTTCATAAACACCGCTTACCTTGTTGAGGAAGTTTTCTCCTGTTCCTAGTTTGTTGAGTGCTGTTCCTATCATGAAAGATTGTCAGATTTTGTCAAATGCTTTTTCTGTGTCTTTTGAGATAATTGTGTGGTTTCTGCCTTTTTTTTATTATTGATATGATGTAGTATAATCATTGAATTTTAAGTGTTACCCTTGTATTCCTGGGATATATTGCACTTAGCATGGTGTAGAATCCTTTTTACATGGTGCTGAAATCAATTTGCTAGTATTTTGGTGAGCATTTTTTTAGAGGGGGGAGGAAAAGAAGGGGGAGGGGCAGAGAGAGAGAGAGAGAATCTTTTTTTTTTTTTTAAAGATTTTTTATTTATTTATTTGAGAGAGAGAGAATGAGAGAGCACATGAGAGGGGAGAGGGTCAGAGGGAGAAGTAGGC